GAGGCTTCCTCTGCTATTCCCTGATTCTTGCAGGGATCCTGCCAGGCAGGAGAAACACTGGGACCACATTTCCTAACTCTGAGGGCAGAGGAGAGGCTGCTCATGCCCAGGACAGCTGCCTGCCACTGAAAGCTCCAGCTGTAAAGGCTGAAGTTTGTTGCAGTTGTAAGTAATTGAAAGTAGGGATTCTTCATGGAAAACCTGAACTATGAGCATCACTGTGACTCCACCTTTAATAACTTTAATAACTTGTATGTCATAATGAAGAGTGGCATGTGCTGAACAAATATCTCCATAACCTCATTCATTAAGAGGCGAATCTTTCAGAATCTAATGTTATGTCTCAAAAGTCAAGTAAACAGCACATTTTGGTGCAAACAGGCTGAGTTATGGAATTACTTAGACTGGATGTTCATCCATTTGTGGGTGTGTATGTGTGACACAAAGGAGCAGACAGATGATGAAGTGGGCAGCACTGCTGACCTGACAGGAGTCTGAAGGTCATTTGGGCCAGAGCATCAGAGAGTGTAATATAAACACTGATCAAATGAAAATTATAATAGAAAATTAGAATTGTGAGGGGGTAAGAGATCCCTTCCCTAGAAAGAAACTAGCAGTGAGCCTCAGAGAGTGTATATAAACCACTTTCCCTGCTTTAGGGAAACAAAATTCCTGGTGTGGAGCTAGCAAAGGGAGGAAAATAGAAACAAGTGGGAATATTTAGAGCGAGGTTTCTCTTTCAGTTCCCTTGTACTCTATTTTTGTTCTCATATTGCAGTCACTGGGAGGCTGATCATGTAGGTGCAGTCGATTGGCTCTGTTCCACGGAGCTGTTCTTGTTGGCAGCCCAGGTTTGGCTGAACACTGCTGTCCTCAGGGACTCCCCTCCTCTGCAGCTTTCATTTCTAATTTTCTTTGGTTTGTTTTGAGTTTTCACCATAATCTATGGACACCGGTTCTGTTTTTATTAGCCATTCTTTTTGAAATGGGTGGTCGGGTGAGATGGGATGAATGTGCCCATTCTGACCCAGATATTTCTGGTGTTAATTTAACAGCAGTGGAAAAGTTCCTGTGTGAAGAGGTGATTGTTACTAAGCTTTGTAATTGGCACTGTGGTGCTGAATATGTTTCTGAATCACTGATGTTTGATAATGTAGGTGTCATGTTTGACAGGTCTGTGAGTGTGTGCTGTGATGCTTCACCGAGAGCAGGCGGATACAGAGCTCTCATATCTGGGAGAAGACTCGGTTTGCTGCTTGTCTTCTGTGGATTAGCAGAGCTAAACTCCATCCCAGTTCAACACACAAACTCTGGGGGCTTGGAGCCTCCCATGAACTCCAGCAGAGCTGTGAAAGTAGCTCTTGGGTCAGTATTAGCTGTGTCACCTGCTGGGCTCTGCACCACTGGGCAGAAAGGGGCTCCTCGTCTCGGTGACTCTCATATGGGGCCAGCTCTCAGCTGGTGGTGAACCTCCAGGCACTGAATTAACTTCATGTGTTTGAAAGGCTTGTTTACAAATTCACTCAGGGAAGAATGAAGTCATCAGAATGTACCGTGCTTCTTTCATGAGCTTGAAAATCTGTACATAATATAGCTACATCTAACTGAAACCAGGTAGCAGAGGGACACTGCCCTATTTCTCTAGCTTGGTGAGGAAAAAACCTAAAAATCATCAAGTTGATGTATTACTTTGGGTAATTGGAAAAATGAAATTTAGATTAAATTTAAATTCCAGTTTATTACAAGTGCCTTGAAGCACTTCTTGCCTAATGAGCAGAACAAACTTCTGCTTTTTCCAAGTGCTGCCATAAACCACATTATTTCCTTAGGTAAAATGTTTGGCCAAGATCTGCATAATGTGTGTATCCAAACTAGATGCTCAAAAACTTCTGCGTTCTTTGAGTCCTACTTATGTTGGAAAGTGAATTTAAACAGTTAACTGTGGATGTAGGTTTATACTTCAGCTTTCAAAGACCTGGCCTTTGGCACCTACAGGGTGGCACCTGAGCACCTGAGACTGAGAACTCTGTGATCTTGTGGCAGGGAACTCAACCAGGGGGCTTTGGGCAGCGCTGGTGAAGGCCTGCAGGATGCTGCTGCCCAAGTCAGGGACATCTGGTCTGCTTCTGAGCAAGTTTTTGAATGGACACAGGTTCCAGCCCAGTGTTTTATGGCAGGCAAAATCAGGGTGGTTGTATCTGTGCCCAGCTGCCTGCATAAGGTCTCGTCAGTGCTAATTTCAGCCATCCAATTTTAATTTGCTGTCGCATGTCTACCAGAGCATTGCAGGAGGGTGGGAGGGAGGATATTTTCCCTGATGACTGCTGTTGACATTTGCAGAATAAAAGTGAAGTCAGCCAGTTGTTTGTTGGAGGTTTTGGTGCCTGTAGCAGTTCCGAGCCAGCCAGGATCGCCCAGTGCCTGTCACCCAGCAGGGACCTTCCCAGCTGCAGCATGGGGAAAATTGCTCAAGCTGTGTTGCTGTTGAACTTTGTTTTTTAGGCTAGGGACGTCAGGGAAACCAAAATGATCCATCTTCCTGTACAATTTGGGGAAGCAAATGAGAAGGGATTGTATTCTTCTTTGCTGCCCCTACAAAAAAAGGAAATAATTCAGGAAACGTTCACATACACAGGCAGGCTCAGGGAAGCAGTGACGTGGGAAGGGACTGATGGCTTTGTGTACAGAAGGCATCTTGCAGCTTTGATTTTCACTAATGGCAGCTGCTGCAGAAGCAAGGCAAAATTTGAGTTTATGGGGGTGTGTATGAAGGCTGATGTTTTTTATTCTGGTGTTGTATGCCTGAGATAAGAGCATCACAATCATGTGTTTGCTGGTGGTCCTGAAAAATACCTCTTGTCTAGCTGGATCCAGGCTCTGTATCTAACAGCAATGAAAATAACTTCTTTCCTAGAAGAGTGGTCTTGAACTTGATTTTCACAAATCACCTGTGTTGTTATTTCAGCAGGCTGCTGTATGCCAGGACCTCAAACCATCCCCACTGTGTGCAAGTGAATTGTGGAGACACCTCCCAGTGGGAAGGGGGGTTCAGGGGACAAAGAGAGTCTGAGTGAGCTGTGTTGGTAAGAACAGGAGCAGACAGAGAGCAAAGATGATGCCAGCAATAAGCATGAGCCACGACTGGGAAAAAAAATGAGAAAGATTTGAGAAAATTGCAACATAAAGGATGTAACGGAAGTTCCCGTGGAGAAGAGGAGGTGAAGCAGAACAGGGGAAGAAGTGGGAGGAGGAGGAGGCACTTCTGTGTGCAGTTAATAGCAGCCCCAAAGAGAGTTTTAATTGGAAACCTATTATAATTATCCACGGTTTTCCTCCCATGCGTTTCAGGAATGTGTGTGGCAGGTAGTTTTCCTTTTGGCTGGGTTACTGATGCAGAGGGCACTGGGTTTGCAGCCAAGTGGCAGATCCGTGTTTGTGTTTACCAGGCACTGAGCAAACACTTTAATAATGTCATTTGTCGTGGGAGATGACTCTGCAAACTGATTTCAGGTTTTTCTGTAGCAGACTGGGAATGCACTCTGATTCTGCCCTGTCTAAAGCTGCTCATTTTAACTGTTGAAGCATGAGCTGTTGTCACCTGGCAGGAAGACACTGACCCTAGTTGGTGCTAGAGGAGACCTTGACCTCGTTGGTATGACCCATGGAGGCTCCTTCTAAATCCCCTGGGGGACTTTCTAAGTAGGGAAGGGGGTGAATCTGCAGCTTGTACATTCTTTATGTCTGGAAGGATGAAAAACAACCATGGAGGGTTCCTAAAATTCGTGTGAACTTAGTTGTCCTTTACCTCGTTGTGGCATGCCAGTGCCACGTGCTGGAGAGCTGCTTTGCATGCTGGTGCTCCTTCAGAGGCTTCTCTGAGCAAGGCAGGCACATTTCTGCTTGTTGGCAAGCAGGACTCAGATGTTATGGATGCATCTTTCAAATCCCTTTGGCAATTGAAAACAGAACAAGAGGAAACCAGAACAAGAGGAAACTCTTTAACAACTTTGGTTAAAAGCAACCACTTCCCACCTGACAGAAAAACCCTTTGGCTGGTGAAAGCATAGGAATTTGGAGACCAGTGAGGGGTTGGATTAAAGCCAAGGCTTGAGAAGTGGGAGTTTTGAAAGTTCCATAGCTTCTGCTAGAAGCACTGTCAGTTTTATCAAATCACAGAAGGGTGTGGGTTGGAAAGGTTCTTCACAGACCATCCAGTCCCACCCCCTGCCATGGGCAGGGACACCTTCCACTATTCCAGGTTGCTCCAAGCTGTGTCCAACCTGACCTTGGACACTTCCAGGGACGGGGCAGCCACAGCTTCTCTGGACAACCTGTGCCAGCATCTCACCATCCTCAGTCTAAAACATTTCTCCTCTGTGTCCAACCTAACCCTGGCCTGTTGCAGTTTAAAACTGTTGCCCCTGGCCTGGCATGACAGACCCTGATAAAAAGCCTCTCTCTGTCTTTCATGTAAGCCCATTTATACATTGAAAAGCTGCAGTAAGGTCTCCCTGGAGCCTGTTCTTCTCCAGGTTGTACAACCCCAACTCCCTCAGCCTTTCCCTGTGGAAAGCTTTGGTTTTATTGTGTAGGTTTGTTTACCTTGTGAGCACTAAACCCTTAATAAACAGCTCTTACCTGTCAAGAGTCTTCCTTGACTCTGTGCCATCAACTGATTTAAATCCCTTTGAAGGGAAGGTGCTGACAGACTCCCCTTGCTGGCTGTGTGCCAGAACTGCTTCCAGATCATTCAAGGACACTGAATGATAGAGGGAGATCTCTGTGTGTCCATGTTCATCCTCCCAGAGCACAGGTGAGGCTGGAGAGCCTTTGGGGCCAGCCTGGTGGGCTCTGGGAGCTGTCAGAGCAATTTCTCCTGTCTCTGTCCAGAACATGGGAGTGAGGATGAGCACTTAGCAGAGGTGGCTCTAGTTTGACTTGGTGCACTTGGTGATGTAAAAAACACCCAACTTTTTCTGTCTCTTCTTTTTCACTTGTAGGTTTATTCTTCAGCCTAAAGGAGTGATTCATAATCAGCTCTTAGAAAAACAGAGAATAGCTGAAGAGAAGATTAAAGAGTTAGAGGTAAGTTTTTGGCAAGTGATCATGAAAGTAAAACACTGAAGGTCAACAAGATGCTCTTTGCTACATCTCTTGTTTCTATCTAGTACTTTTTGTGCTGAAGGATTGTAACTAGATGAAAGAGAGAGCCTGTTACAAGTAACCTACACATAACTCAAGGCACTTGGTTCCTTTCCTAGATCTACAAACCAGTAGGGATTGATTGCTCTGTACCCCAGTATGAAAACTGGGAGTGAGAGATTCAAATGAGATTAATAAGAGCAAGGTCTAAAACAAGCAAAAGGATGTTTGTGTGCTTATTTGCAGCAGATAAGTGATGTAAATTTTCGCCAGTGCTGTGGGTATTTAAAGGTTACACTGGCTCAGAACAATTGCACAAATTCATGGAAGAGAAATCCATCGAGAATTACCAAATATGTAGAAATGGCATCCTGCTCAGGAAGTCCCTGAGCTAAAAATGTCTGGAGGGTGGGAAAGTATGAGGAGGAAGTACCGTATAGGCCTGCCCTGTCCTTACACTCTGCCCTTAAGCATCTGCTTGGGGCTGCTGTGGAAGGGCAGATCTGTGGGGAGATGGGACTTTGTTTTGACAGTGTGGTCAGAGCACTTCTGTGTTCTTGTGTTTATCTGGTTGGAGTACTCAAGGCAAGGAAGGATATCTAGGAAATTAAAAGCAGTGTCTGTGCAAGTTCCAGTGTTCAAACAGGCTATCTGGAGAATCTTGACTATCTTCTTGTGGCTGCGTCTGCAACTTACAGCTCTTCTGAGAAGAAGTGCAAAATGTACTTTTCCAAGGCTGTTAGTGTGTGGTTTTTTTGTAATTCTCCTAAAATATCATTAATACAAGCCCCTGTTTCTTTGATCTTTGAGGAATGACACAGAAAGCAAAGACCACGTTGTGTTAAGCTGCTTTTCTCATCTGTTATTGTTTTGGAGAAAGTGATGTGGACACCAAATAAGTAGAGACAAGCAGGAATAGGAAGTCTGTGTTCAAACCCATTCAGACTTGTGCAGTTCCTTCTCTGTTGTCTCCTACTTACTTGTAGTAAGCAGAAATTGAGTCTGTGTTTTTCTTAATCCCTTCTTAAAACTCAGCCTGCCTGAGGAGCTGTGGAACAAGCCCATCCCCAGATGTTGTGTTGCCTGGAGTGTTGCCTGTGCCAGACTCTAAGGAGATTTGTGTTTCTGCCCACAAAAACTTTTCTGCACAGGTCAAACGAGTGCTCTGTGGACAGGCTGTGTATCTAAGAGGATGTGCAGGCAAGGCATAGTCATTTTTATGGTTATGTGGTAAAAGCAGCTGTATTCTTGCTCTTTTGAATCCATCCCAGATGTCAGTGGCTTTATGCAAAGACAGCCCTGCAATTGGGGGTGGAGGACTTCATGGCAGCACCTCTGGGTTTGGGAGCAGGTGGAATGTGGCTGGCAGCACCTCTGGGTTTGGGAGCAGGTGGAATGTGGCTTCATGGCAGCACCTCTGGGTTTGGGAGCAGGTGGAATGTGGCTGGCAGTCTGTTTATAAACTGCCCCTGGGGTCCCTTGCTGCCAGCTCCTGGGCTGTGGTCAGCTTCTTGGCTACTGTGCCCTTCAGCTGTGCCATCTGGGTTTCTTCCTGTTCCTGGTGGGGAATTATCTTACCTCCTGAACTTTCCGATCACTGAGTTCAGCAGAATGGGTGGAATTTCCCACAAATTATAACTTTGCTGTTCTTACACAAAGCCTCTGAACTGGCTATTTCACAAATGTTTTTCTGCTTCGTTGCTGAATCTCTGGTCATGGTCATTGAGTTGAAGTTCCCAGCAATAGTCACTGTCTCAAAAGGTGGTTGGAGTGGAAAGGTGGTTGCCACATGGGTTGGTTTTTCTTTTCAATCATGAGTAGTAAGGCTCAGAATGCCAACACATTCAAAAGTTTGTGTTAAGTAAACATTCAAGTCCATCTTTTAACTGATCTCTTTCCAGTTGGCTGTGGCACTTTTGTGAAGAGGGTTTTCCTTAGGCCTGGGATTCCCCATGGAAGAGGACAAGCACTTAGGCTGACAACTGCTGGAAACTGAGATTTCAGGGGAAGTACCTGAGTCCAACTCAGAGAGCACTTATCACAGGAGCAGGGGATTTTGCTGTCCTGAAAACAAGCTGTGACCAAAGCAGGAAAGAATGTGAAACTTTGTGACCTTGTGCTTCCACTGCATCGCAGTAAAATAAATATCAAACCAAGAAAGGTTAAACATCTCTCCATTCATTATTAAAACTGGAAGGGTTTTAAAGCTTAGGTTTATATTTTACATTGTTAACTACCTTATGACTTATTCACATTTCTCATTTTGCACAGTTGAATCAGCCTGGTCAGAGTAATCCCCCAGTACCCTATGGTGAAGCTGATATCATTACACGTGTAGCTGAGCTTGAGATAATTGTGCTTTGCTAGGATGACATTATTGCCAAGGGATTGTGAAATGTGTATTTTTTTTGATACATGCCTGAATCTGAGAAATGCTCTCCCCTCTACCTTGGTGCTGTTTGCAGAGGAGAACAGCACAGAGGACTGGGCTCACTTCTGAGCTCTTCTGGAAATCCATCCAGCTGCATAGCAAGGAGATTTTCAGCTGCCTGTTCTTGAAAATGTGTCTTTAACTTGCTTCAGAGGTGTGAGCTGGTTTTGCTGACATTCACGGCTGCCACTGAACTTTGAAAACTGTGAGGAGTTTTGCCCCTTTTCTGCCTCTGACACTCTCCACTGCAGTGCATGATTGCAGTCATTCCCTTTGCCTCGCTTCCCTCTCATGGGTTTCTCCATTATTGGAGCAGTGCATTGTATTTTTCAAGGCAGCATCACAAAATTGATGGGATACTGCTGGTTTGGGCCTCCTTGCAGCAAGGACAGCCAGACCTGTCCTTGTTAAGGGCTGGGAAAATAAGGCTTGGCTGGAACAAGCATTATGCTTGGTGAGAGGAACTGTGTTTTGAAAGCACCAAGGGGTCTGGGTGTGGATGAAGGGGCAGTTAGTTACTCTGCAGAACTTATCTGAAGAAAACCAAAGGTAGCTTTACCTTGCTTGTTGAAGCTATATATGGACAGGAATATATCTAAGTATATGTATTGAATCATTGAATGGTTTTGGTTGGAAAGGTTTGGATGACTTTAAAGATCATCTCACTCCACCCCTCTGCCATGGGCAGGGACACATTCCACTAGACCAGGTTGCTCCAGGTATGGGGCAGCCACAGCTTCTCTGGGCTACCTGTGCCAGGGCCTCACCACCCTCAAGTAAAGAATTTCTTTCTAATTTCCCACCTAAATTTCCGTTCTTTCAGTTTGAACCAATTGTTCCTCGTCCTGTCACTCCAGTTCCTGATGAATAATATCTCTCTGGCTTCCCTGTAGGCCCCTTCAGATCCTGGAAGGTGCTGTGAGGTTTCCACACAACCCTGTAGTCTCCAGGCTGAATAGCCCCAATGTTCACAGCCTGTCAACTCCATATGCACCTGTGTGGCATTCTGAGCTTCACAACTTGTATCTAATCCTTTGGAATCCAAACACACTGCCCAGGCTTGCTGGCACAATAGCTGTGCCTGCTGGCAGGCTGTGCCAACAGGGCTTACCCAAAACTCCAGAGATTGGTGCCATCAGCTCCCTCACACACCAGCATGGGACACGTCCTGCTTTGCAGGAGCCATTGGATTTTTCCAGTCCTGATACTATCAAATTCTTGTTGTGTTTCACGGTACAAGGGGTATGTGTTAAATCTATTTTGAAAGCATTCTAAAGGGATGAGCACAGACTCTTTTTAGCTCAGCAATGTTTGTGCAGTATTAGGAGAAAAACCAAGTAATGTTTTTCTTCCCTTGTTTTTAAGGAAACATGATATGTGAGGGGTGGAACAATGCTTTGTTTCAGGAAATGTTATCCGTTTCCATTGTAGGGCTAGATGGATTCTGTTTTTAAATGTGGCATTTTAAAAAGAACAAACTATGATGTTATAAAGACATGGAAAATTGATTCTTCATTAGGGGTGGAGAAGGTGATTATCACTGTGTGCTTTCTCTGATAATATCTGATAGTCCCCTTCTCTCCTGCTATATTCAGCTTGTTTAGTTGTCAGGCGTTGTCAGACTAAATTGCTAAAAATAACAAATAAGGGGGAGGCTCTGCTGGGCAGCTCCGTCTGCTGTGTGCCACTGAATTTAGCTCCTTCGGGAAAAGGGCAAAAGCAACCTGCAGCTTTCTGAGTGAATTGGATTTTGGTTTTAAACTCTGACCACAACATAGCTGTGTGCTAGTTTCCCAGGCAATTCTTTCACATGCCTGTGGGAGACTGAAAGTTTACTGCTGCTGAGATAAGGGGTTGGTTGGTTTCTTCTCTGGCTGCCTGGAGTAGAAAATATAATTAAGAAAGCTGTACCTAAAGGCTTGGTTTCTAATTCAGAAATCCTTCATGTGAGCCCTAAAACACCATGTCCAATTCGCCTATCTCATGCAGAAAATGTCTTTGCTCTCCTTCCTGGTGGAGGAAGGAACACACTGTGCTCTCAAACACTGCAGTGCTCCATGTTTGAAGCCTCAGGTGATGTTTGCAAAGCTGGTGAAGTTACACAGTGACTGCACTGAAATGCCTTAAGGTGATCACTGACTTCTTCCCTGGTGTTGCCTGAGCAGAGTGGCTTGCATTTCTCTAATCTTCTTTTTCTGGGAGCTTTAAAATGGCTTTGCTGCAGCCCTGAGGCAGACTGGTGGTGCTCCCCCCGTGATGAGTCGGCTCTGACAGTTACCACAGCAGTGTTTTCTTCCCCTATGGGAACAAAGATTTGGGCAGGTGAGGTGTGGCTGGGGAGAAGCCCTGGAGCCTGGGGCAGGTATGGCTGGGATGGATGGACCTGCTCCGTGTGGCCCTGACGTGCTCCGGTGGCAACTCCATTCTGTACTGAAACCCTCAGCATGGAGGCCAGTTCTGTGGGTGGCTTTAACGATGTGAAAACAAGTCTCTTGAGATCTGTGGTGCTCTTTGCAGACCACGAAGAGCTCATCAGAAGGTAGCAATTGTTAGGCTGTTCCCAAGTTAGACCAGTTTCTTGCAGGGATTTACAGCGCAGAAGTTCTCGTCACATGGTTTGCTTGGGGTAGGCCAGTGCCCAGGAATGTGTGGTGGGCTTTTTAACTAAACAGGGGGACATAAAGAATGCTCCTGTTTGCTTTGGAGAGGGGAAGCCTCAAGAATAACTCTCTGTGCATTAGCCTGGAGCAGATTCTATCTTGGAGGAGGGTGCTGTTCCCTCATTCCATTGCTGGCATGTGTGCACGTAGCAGGGGCAGGATTTTAAACACAGGTTGTCACTGAAGTTGCTCTTTGTTTGTTTCCCTGTGTGTGCATAGGTAAGGTGAGTCTCTCTGCTTGCTGTAGAGTGATGCAGGCCACCTAATGTGGGGACAGGTGGAGTGTGGAAGTGATTTGACTGTGTAGGATTAGCATTTGGGCTTGCGTGGACATTTTAGGAGGAAGCTGTGGGATCTCTACCAATGATGGATGTTAGGGTGAAGATGAGGTGCAGAGCCTCCACAGAGCCTTGGTGGGGACCAGGGCAGGCAGTACCCAGCATCTTGCACGGCTTTGGGTGTTGGTGGCAGCTGTGGCTGTCTGGGCAGGTCCTTCTGGACACACATTTGGACTTGGTGACGTTCCTGGGAAATGTGTTTCATCTTGACTCTTGGCTGGTGTCATCCCACGTCTGAGTCTGTGCCCTCACTGAGGGTTTGCTCCTGTGTTTCAGGCTGCAAAGCTGCAGGCTTAACTTGCTTTTTGAGGACATGGGTGGTCCAGCTGCCTGCCTGTCAGCTGTGGAGCATCCAGAGGCACTCCCGTGGGAGAGCAGAGCCCAGGCTGCATGGGCAGAGCTGTTAGCAGCAGTCTGCCCTCCATCAGAGCCTTGTTTTGAAGAAGGGAGTAGCCAAAACTCATTTTTTTTTCCCCCTATAGGTCTGGCTGTCTTACAGGGAGGAGAATCTGTGTTCTCATTGCTGATTTTTGAAATTAAAACTACTCTGAGCAATGAGGAAAATAGGCTTCAAAATGACAAAACATTGAGGAGATTGAGAGTGTAATGGACACAGAGCACAAAATCCTGCTTTGTGGAGAGGCCCTCTGACACTGGACTGGGGCCACACAATTTAAGGTAAATACTGGAGGAATTGGGGCATAGCTAATGTTGCTCTAATTCTTTCTGTTCCCTAAACTGACTCTGCTGATGGTTACATGAAGAACAGGCCTTCACAGCTGTGAGGAATCATTCACTTCACTTGCTTTTTAATGTTTAAAGCCTCAAGGCCTGTCTTGTTTGTCAAAAATGAGGGTGGCAAAAGGATTGTATTCTTACAGCTGAACTTGGTGGGTGTTTCTCTGTTGTGTGACTGTCACCTTTCATCACAGACAGATGGAAATCAGCTGTATGCAGCCAGCACCTTGCAGATTTTAAAGGCAGCAAGTGCTCCTCAGCGTCTGCAGGGAAGGAGGTGGATTTGTTTAAAAGCTGGCTCTTAGTCCTATGTTAAATTTGTTAGATAAAGATCAAATAACAGTATGTTCTGCTTTGAAAATTGTGTAAGAAGCTTGTCATGTGTTAAATAGTGCACAAGTCACTGGTTGCAAAACATGATGTTGGAATCTTAGAGGCACATGGGAAAGAAATTCTCACATTTCAAAGGGGAGAAGGTGGAGGGGTCATCTGCCACCTTAGGCCTGGGATGGCTTGTAAAAACTAATGTCTCACCACATTTTTGTGCAGAATGGTTGTGGGTAATGCTGATTTGAGTGCAATGACGTGTATTTATATCATCACATGTGTGTGGGTATGCAGTGGCAAGGCTGGATCTCTCATTTGGAGCAGTCATTCACTGCAACAGGTTTTCAAACTCCCAGATTTTTGCAAACAGTTGTTTAATTAGTAATTCTTTGTTAGTCTTCCCTATGTTGCAGACTGCAAAGTAAGCACACAAACCAGCTGAGAGGGCAAAGGCTTTGTGAAGGAAGAACTGGAATTTGATGACTTTGCTTTCGCTGTTCCTACCTTTATTTTTAGGTGAATAATTCAGATTTTAAAAGCAAGAGAGTAATGACGTGGGGTTGTTTGTTTCCTTTTAAGTCCTTTAGAGGCTAGTTATAGACATGCTTTCAAAATAAAGGCATCTCAGAACGTGTTATAGGGCTTTTTTGGGGGGGAGGGGATTACTCTTGATTAAAAAAAACCCAATAACCTAACAGAGAAAACTTCTCAAACAACTCTTGCCAGTTCACTCACATTCCTTTGTAATTCAGAGGAAAGTGAAACACATTGTGCATTAATAAAATCCCACTTCTGTTGCTGTGTCTGAATGGTTTTGTCCATCCAGGAACCTACATTTAGTCATCTGAGCCTGAAAACATCTCTTGTTTCCTCTGATTAGCATTAAGCTGCCTTTATGGTTACACTGAAATCATTTTAACACCAAGTTGGTTGATAAGTGTCATTTTGGAGCAGGGTCTGATTCATTGTCAAAGCTCTCCTTTGTGCTTATGGCTGCAGAAGTATCCAAAGCAATGGGCTGAGCTGGATGTGGGTCCCTCTCCAAATTCCTCCTTGCATGAGTAATAATTAGTCACAAACCCAGTACTGCTGTCCCTGCCTTAGTCACCAGGCCCCTGCAGTGGCTCCTGGCTGCTTTATGCCAAGCAGCTCTGGGGAGGGGGATTATCTGTGCCCGATAAACCTCCATCCTGCTTCCATCTCCTCCTCCATCTCGCCTGGGGAGAACAGGAAATGATTATTTGGAGAGCGTGCTGCTGCCTGTTGGAGGCCTGACCCAGCCCTGAGTCAGCTGTACAAAGCCACACCTTGCTGCCAGGTATTCGGGGCAGCCCTCACTCACGTCACACTTCCTGCTGTCCCCACTGCCTGGGTCACCCCCTGCTCCATCCCTCACGCCTTGCTGGTGGCCATGCAGCTGCTCAGGGCTGTCAGAGATGGGCAGGGATGCTGCCTGCTTGGGAGTTGACACCATCTTTTTGTTGCTGATTTGTCTTTGAAATTTATGGAAATGATTTTTCTTTTTAAAGCGGCTTTGTTTGGCCAGGACTGCAAGAGCCGAAAGGTGTGGTATGGTTTTGCACAAGTCCTCCTGCCAGGAGGAATCCCGATGAGCCACACCAGCTCTGTGGGACCACAGAAACTGAGGCTCTGGGTGGGGGAACTTACCACATTTTGCAAGAGGCAGTTTGGTGAGGGACGTTTCTGCCGAAACAGAACGTGGGGGTTTTCAGGATCTGTGTGAGTTTCCCCTCCCCGAGTTCTCTGTTTGACCTGACTGCTGTCACAGCCTGGTTAGGGCACAGTATCCGACCTGGAGCAATGTGCTCCTGGAAACTGTTCTGCATGGGGAATTGTGCCAAGAAGGGGTGTCCCTAAAGGAATCCTTTGTGTTGATAATACATTTCTGCTGCCACCTACTGAAAGGTTCCCGTTGACTTGCTTTTGTAGTAGTTCACATCAGGCTAGGGTGCAGGAGTTCACTGGAATAATCCATCATTTCCCACTCACCAAGAGCAACTGTCTCCATCTCTGCTGGAAGTGCTGTCCTGTTCCTCAGACAGTGAAGTGCTGCTGCCACGAGCCTGGGGTTGGGCACAAAGGCTGGCAGGCAGCCTGGCTTTCTGCCCCTTACCTTGCCCCTTCTTCTCTTGAAGGCACCACACATGGAAGTTAATGGGGGCTTTTCCAGCTTAGCTTTTTCAGGGTATGTTCCTTGAGCCCAGCTGGTTGTGCTGTGGTAGGATCAGTACACGATGATGGTGGATTTGCACCAGCAGTTCTTTAGGCAGGTGCTTCTAAGGATTCTCTTGGGTTGGCAAATGTAGTTGTATGCTTGATGTTTTCTCTTCTACACTCTAACCCAGGTAGTTCTGAAGTGACTGTGGGTCCCTGTTACCTTGTGGAAGGCAGAGATGAGGGAAAACCCAAGGGTCTGAATCACTTCTCTGAGGTGTGTGGCGTCACGCTTCTGTCAGCAGCTGTCGTCAGAAACCAGCTGGGCTCCCTTCCTATTCCAGGTCATTCATTCTTGAGCAAACTCTGGGCAACTTCCTAAGGCAATAACTGCTTGGAAAGTCTTGAAGCGTATCTAAATATTTGGTGGTTGCTGTAGAGTAGTAATTCCCAGTGTGTACATGTGCCACAGTGTTGAACTGGGTGAGGACCAGTGCTGGGTGGACCCATCAGGGCGTAGGGCTGCCTGCAGACCTACCCCACCCCATTGCTGGTGTCCACTTGTGGACACCACTGCTCCTGGAGCAGGAGCAGCTGGGTGCTGTTCAGCAGGGCCACCTCCTTCCTGATCAGGGGTTCCAAGTGAAATCCTGTTAAACAGAGCACATGTCCTCAGCACATCATCTTCCATGAGCTTGGTCTGACCAAAATGTTTGCCTTGCCCAAGGTGGGCGTGCCAGGGCTTGGAGTGCTGCTCTGCACAGGGAGTTTGGGCACTGCCAACCCCTGAACAGCAGTGGTGGCCCCAAGAGTGAGGGCAGCTCGGGCTGCTGTTGCCTGGCCCCCAGTGCACAGGCAGCACAATTTGCCATCCTCCCAGGCAAAATCCTTCTCCAGTCAACCATGTGCTCCCAACTCTAGCTCAGGATCTGCTGATTATTTTCCCACAGAGCCCTCAGGGAACGCCAAAAATGGTTCGAGTTAACTTTGGGGGAATAAAGAAGCTCTTGGCTAGCCACAGGTTTACTGAGATGTCATAGGATGAGTTGTCTTAGGGCTCCTGTTTGAGGCACTGCATCATGCCTGAAGACTGCAGCCTTCCTCAATGGAAGCCTTCTGAGTGTGGGAGTGGGATGCCAGAATCTGGTGGCTGGTAGCCAAGCATGCTGAGAGCCATGGGAAGGGAGGTATTCTCTGAGAAGGGACCTGCCAACTTGTTTTGTCCTCACAAGTCGGTTGTAAAACAGGTTCATAGAAAAACAGTTTATAAAACAAAAAAGGGAGAAAAAAGAACAGGCTGAAATGAATAGGCATGTTCCAATACTAGATCCTTAAATTTCCATGGAAACATTTTTGTTTGGGCTTAAGCAAATCTGTGTTTGCAGGTCAGAGGTTGAAGCTTTCTTTCATTTGCAGAGGTGACGTGAGAGGAGTGGAATTTGAAGAGCAAAAGTTGATGTTGAATGATAAACCATGACTTGACACAGGAACCTCACCTGTATGGAGGTGTATGGCCGCATGGATGGGCAGGGCTGCCGTGTCTGTTCCCTCTGGGAGCACAGGGTTGTTTGGGCTCTTGGGGTGGGTGGGAATGCTGTGCCCTGTCCACTGAACCACGGGCTCCAGCCAAGGCCCTGCCACACACAGGGCTCTCCCTGAAGGCAGAGGCGTCTGAATCACAGTGCTGGGGAGGGAGGACAGTGCTTTGATCATCAAAAGCCCATCCAAGAAAAGCTGATTAATAGTTTTTTCTTGCTGTGGAATCTGTGGATGCTGGCTCTTTAATCTGCCAAGAATGCCAGGTCCGGGTGCGTCATCTGGAGCAGCCCCGACCTCTCCAGCAGCGTGATGCAATGGGAGCGGAGGTGGGAGGCTGGAGCAGGAGGTGACTTCCCACCGTGTCAAAAGGCCACGGGCCACTTCTGTTAACCACAGCTCCTTGTCTTCTTTGGGGTGTGAGCTGTAATTGTGTTTGCATTCAATGTAGTCTTTCCACAGCTGCTGCCAAAAGCAAACAGTGCAGAGCTGGTCGGGGAGCAGGCACTGCTCGTGATGGGGAGTGAAGGGCAAGGGAGAGCCCAGGAACGGGGTGGTGGCAGGGGCGAGTCCTGTGGCGTTGTTTGGCTGCAGCCACCCGTGCCAGGGCGCAGGCTGGCCACGCCAGCACACCTTGGTCAGGAGCGTGCACAGCGAGGGCTGGCTCGTGGTGCTGCCTGCACAGCCTCTGGCTGAGCTGGTGCTTCCAGGAGTCTGCACTTCCTATGTCAGCACACACAGAGGCAGCCAGGGCAGATGGAACCCCCAAAGCCATTGCCTGCACCCCCCTCAGGTGCCAGGGGATGTGTTGGCAGTGGGCATTGCATCCCCACAGGCCCATTGCATATCAGTGCCCTGCCCGCCCTCCTCCTCCTCGCTGGCAGGGCTGGGGCTGGTGGTGCCTTCCCTGCCAGGCTCTGTCTGTGGAGCTGGACAGCCACCATTCCTCCTGGGAAAGGTTCCTGGGACATGGGTGTGCATTTCTTGTTGGATGGGGCTGTGTGAGTGCTCAGTCCCATTTTTGGCTGCACCTCCACCTGTGGGAGGTGGTGTTTTTAGTCCACGTAGCTGTACTGAACCACACACGAGTGCACCTCTTGCCCCACACACCTTTTTTAGGAAGGCTGCAGGAAGCCTTGGAGGTGGAGAAGGCTCCTGAGAGCTGGCAGGGGAGAATATGGGCCAGGTTGGTGATACATCTGTACTCAGGGGTAGGAGAGGTGCAAAGTCCAGTTTCTGAGCCCCCAGGATGTGCTGGAAGGCCCAGCTGGTGGGATTGGCTCTGCTGCCCAAGGAGGGATCTTCTTGCCCTCCATTCTGGTGCCAGACAGCTATTAGCATGGCAATTTTGTTTCCAGAAAGCAGATTTAGGTGAGAACACTTCCTTTGGGGCTAGTTTTGAGACAGATCATCAGGGCTGTGGTTTGTCTTGTTCCCAAGTGCTGCAGCCCTTCCTGCCTGGGGAAGGAACTGTTGTTAGGAGTGGTATTAGCTTAAAGGAATTAGGAAACCAGGCTGGGAGGCATTGGCTGCGCTGGCTTTTGGGGGCATCCTCCGTGGGTTTGCACCCTGTCAGTGTTCTGCAGGTGGCCCAGACCTCTCTGGGCTGTGGCAGCAGCTGTGTGTTGGTCTCATGTCCCAGTGCAGGTGGCAGAGCCCTTTCTCTGTGAGGCAGAAGGGGGATCAGGGGGCTGTCAGCACGGAGGAGGGAGTGGATGAGAATGGGTGGGTGGCCTGTGGCAGGAAGAAGTGAGGATGCAAGAGCATGTCCTGGGCTGGAGCAGGTCAGCTGGCTCAGTTTTGGAGTGCATGTGAAGTGTGCTGTCCGTCTGGAAACCTGCAGCTGCAAATCAATCCTGGTACCTTCCCATGCAGCCTCCAGCTCCCCTTCCTTGCTGGGTGGGGGAGAAGCTTCTCCAGTGCTGAGGGGACCTGGAGCCCTGGGTGATCCCTCCCCGTGTGAGTGAACTGTGCCTGGGTCATGGGAACGCTCTGGCCTTTCTGTGGCAGTGGTGGGGGCTGGCAGGGCCTGGCAGTGCTGCTCAGAGGCTGTTCCTCTGAAATCAGTTTCAGTAACACCCCACGAGAGAGTTTTGTAGAATAATTCTCTAGCAAGTGGCTGTGGGAGTTGTGAACCAGGAGGAGGAACCGGCCCCTTGCTGCAGTTGGAGCCCTTGGCTGACACAGCAGCTGCTTCCTGTCGTGCCCTCTGGGTTTCCTTGTCACTGCCTTGCCACACTCCTGGCGAGACTGCAGGGGGACAGCAGTCACCAGGGTCACTGCCCGGCCTCCTGTGGCCCTGCTTGTCAGCCGGAAGATGGGGCTTTTCTGGGAGCTCAGTGTCATGTGGCAACTTCCCCCCGCTGCCTTCTCAAAGCCAATCTCCTTTCTCTGTTGTTCCCTGGAGCTCTGTGGCTCAGAGCATCCGAGGGGCACAGGGGCATCTGGGGCCGGTTTGGGCACCCACCTTACCTGTCCAGGTGCCCACAGGAGCTGGGGGGAGGGTGGGGGCGGTTTAGGGCACTGGTGTGGTGAGTGAGTAGGAGCTCTGGGTCAGCAGCTCGCAGGTCCTGCAGCCACCAAAGCCAGTGGTGCAGGGTCAGTGTGCTGCTTGTCCCCTTGGGCTGCTGCCATGTCCCCTCGGGCTCCTGATGGCGAGTACTGGAGCTACAGCTGTACAAGTAAAACCAGAGGCTTCAGAGAGCAGCAGCCACCTCTGGTTTCATGAAGTGCAATTTTGACTGGGTGAATTCCCACAGGCTGCACTTGCCATGGCACAAGGTAGCAGAGAATGATCTCCTGGAGCAGCAAACACATTTTCCCAGGGAAATGCACCGGCTCAGCGGGTGCTGAGGTGAAGCCCAACAGCCACAGGCTGGCCCAAACCAGGGGCTCAGAGGACATAGGGTTAACTAGGAGTGCAAATGAAAGCTGGGAGCTGGAAGCTGGAGGTGGGGTTGGGGATGCAGGGTGGTGTTCAGGGAACAGATACCACCAGCCTGGCAGGTCTGGCCGGACCGGAACAGCCTCCAGCATGACTCCAGAGCTGTGCTGTCGTGTCCCTGGGCTCGGTGTGAGTAGGCAGAGCGTGTGTCAGCCGCTCGCTCGGCGCTGCTCCCCGCGAGAGACGGAGTTTCCTGTCTAGACCCCGGTAATCGCCGGGAGGAGGGGTTTGCACACAGGCTCCCGCTCCTTCTCCCCTGATTACTGAAGCAGAACCCGGGCTGCAGTTCCCCCTTCCTGGGGAAGGAACACCTCGCTTCTGCCACGTGTCTCGGAAAATGTGGTGGCTGTCTGCTCCTCGCTTGCCTGTGATCCACGCTGGAGTGGGAGCCAGCCCTGTGCTGGCTCTGGCTCTGCCTGCCTGCAGGACAGCTCGGGGAGGCTGCAGCCCCCTGGCTGTGGGTGCAGGGCTCCCCTTGATGCTCGAAGGATGTTCCTGGAGCCCAGAGATGGCATTTCCTGGAAACTGCTCCTGGGAGGGAGTGAAAGTACTGGGACCAGCCTGGATTCTTGTGCCTCAAAAGTTAGGTGGCTAGGGAGAGTAATTGAAAGAAAAATTCCCTGAATCCTCCTCTGCCTGGGACTATGCAGGTGCTGCCTAAGTGCAGAAATGGCCTTAAACCCAGGCCCTTTGCCATTGGGAGGGCAGAGCATGTCACTGTGCAAGGGTGGGCAGTGTGGGTCCACATGTGGGTGCTCCTCTGCTGTGTCAGAATCCCTTGTCCTTATGGAAGTGGGGCCCACACAGGCACCAGCAAGGTTTCCTGATTGGATGTCTGAAATTCTGGACTCTTCTGGACAGCATGCCTGTGGAGAGCTGCTTGCTGGAGCTGTCTCCTGCCTGGTAGGAGCAGGAGACAGGGGCAGGGGAGAGGACAGAAGGGCAGGACTGGACCATTTCATGCACTAATTTAATGGTGTTAGGGAAAAGCCTTAATAAAAAATGACCCCCTAGGAGTCAGCTCTGCTGCTGCCACTCTCTTGTGGTCAGCAGAGCGAGGTGAAGCTTTGAGCCACAAGGGTTTTTTGGGCCTGTCTCCTCTTGCTGCCCTCAGACTCACTTCCCTGTGTGTGAAATCCCTCGACGTCTGTGCGGGCAGTGTGGGGACAGTGACAGAGTCCTGCTCTTGTGTCACTGAGTCACTGGCAGTGGGAACCTGTGGCTGCTCTTCTTCTCCCTGTGGTTTCCTCAAAAGCAGTTCCTGTAAGAGAAAGGGACCCCACGTGCTGGGGGACCACGGAGAGGGACCAGGAACCCTGGGCCATAACCCTGGCTCTGGCTGTCACCAGCAGCTTTTAGTGGTTAAATACAGACCCTTCAGCCTTTAGAAGCAGGACGGGGAGAGATGTCCTCACGGTAGGGACATTCCAGCTGAGTGTGCAGCTGTGCCACAGCAAGGGGACAGAGAGGCAGTGGTGGCAGCAGGACTGCTCCATGGGCTAATGGATTTTCAGCATTACGAGTCCCATGGGCCCACACAAGTCAGGGTGAGGCTCTGAGGGCAGCAGCAGTTCTTGCCCTTCACGTGTACTTGGTTTGGGTGGGCTTTGGGGGCCACTGCTGCTGTACTGGGCCGCTGGCACTGGGGAGGTGACTGGTAGATCCTCTGGCAGGATGCTCTGGGCAGAGGCCTGGACTCCTGGAATTGAATACCAATCCTGCCTGTGCTTATTGGGAGCTGGCATGGCCCAGAGCAGGGCTCTACATGGGCAGCACGGGAGCCTGTGCTCACAGCAGTGCTGGAGGAGACTGTTGTGTCTGTTGTTTGGAAACCCAGAGAAAATAGTCAAAAGAGCCAAGCACTGATTTTTCCAGCCACAGAGAAGCACCCAGACTAGCAGGAAAAAACGCTGCATGCTGAATTCCTATCTTGGGATGCATGGCTTGGGGCTGCTTCCCTGCCAAGCCCAGGCTAATTACAGATGATTAAGGAAACACGTATTTGGTGACGATGCCAGGGAATTGCTGATAGAAAGGAGGATATAGGGTTAGAAAATGGCCCAGCTGCGAAAAAGAACCTTTTGTGCCCAAGCAGAAGGTTTTGCTGTGTCTCCATAAGGAGGCCTTGGCATGTCAGTCCCTCTCTAGGCTCCAAGAGTTACAGGATCTGATTTGATTTCCTTCCTTGCTGAGGTTCATGACTCCCACTTTTTGCAGTGCCACTGTTGCAACACCCCGGCAGCTCTGAGGTTTCGGGGGGAAACAAAATTTGTTCTGTGTAAACACTGCCCTGCCCCTGTGCCTCAGGGAATGCTATCCCCACATGGGACACCTGCAGTGTGGTGGGTGCCCCAGCCAGCACCCACTGCTCTGCCTGGGTACCCAGGTTTGTGCTGGCAGGGCTGGGGGGATCCTCACTTACCTCTGGTTTCTGCCTTGCAGCAGAAGAAGTCGTACCTGGAGCGGAGTGTGAAGGAAGCAGAAGACAACATCCGGGAGATGCTGATGGCCCGCAGGGCACAGTAATGGCACCCCTGGATGATCCCCATTGCCTGACCCCCTCACCCCACCTTAATAAAACAGTGCTGGGGCACACAGCACGTGTCTCTGTGGCTGCTCTCCCTGCATGGGGGTGATGGAGAAATGGGATGGTGGGAAGAGTTGGGGTAAGGGGCCTGCAGGGCATCTCTGCTGTACATCCCTGCTGTCCTGTGGATACCCACTGCCTGGTGTGGGCACTGGGGAATGTCCTGCTGGAGAGGGGTGGTGAGCAGGGCTGGCACAGACACAGACACAACCATGAACATGGACACAGGCATGGGCACAGGCACACACATGGGCATGGGAAATGGCTCAGGCCAAGCCAGCCTGTGCCAGGAGATCATTCCCACAGCTCCGGGTCATTATTACTGCCCTGGGTCATTCCATATATCCCATTCCATTCCCCCGTCCCGTTCCATTCCCTGTATCCCGTTCCATTCACTCTGTCCCGTTCCACTCCCTTTGCCCTATTCCATTCCTTCTGCCCTGTTCCATTCCCTCTGTCCCGTTCCATTCCTCCTGTCCCATGCTATTCCCACTATCCCGCTCCATTCCCCTGTCCTGTTCCATTCCCTTTGCTCTGTTCCATTCCCTCTGTCCCGTTCCATTCCCTATATCCCGTTCCATTCTCCATATCCCGTTCCATTCCCTCTGTCCTGTTCCATTTTCCACGTCCCGTTCTATTCCCCCTGTCCCGTTCCATTCCCTCTGTCCCATTCCATTCTCCATATCCCGTTCCATTCCCTCTTTCCCGTTCCATTCCCTATATCCCGTTCCATTCCCTCTGTCCCGCTCCGTTCCCGCCCCGGCAGTGCCAGCTCTTTGCGGTCGGACATCGCCCCCGTGTGGCCGTTTCTGGCAGTGCACTCGCCCGGCTCCGGCCGCGCTTCCAGCGGCTCCCGGGATCTTGGATCGTGGAGTTTCCAGGTCCCGCCGCGCCCCCCCGTGCTGTGACCGACAGGCACACGCGTGCTCTCACACTCTGGGCTGGCCCTTCGCTGCCCCCAGGCTCACACCGCACTTCCACAGAGGGTGACCCATGGACTCCACTCCTGATTCCAGCTGCCAAGCTGCCAGGGAGGTGACAGTGACAGGGAAGGTGACAGGGCTCATTCCCAGGGCAGGGACCTCTGGGAACCAGGCCACAGACCTGAGCTCAAGGCTGCAGAGGGGCAGACCCCAGAAGGCGGCTCCTGGGGACAGGGAATTGCAAGGGACTCTCATCAGCCCCAAACACACGAGTTTGCCCAGAACAGAACCCTGAACTGCCCTGCTGAGTGGAGCTGTGCAGAGGCCCCAGGCTGCACAGCCAAGGGACAGCGAGTGCAATGCCCTTTGCATCCCTGGGTGATCTCCAGGCAGAGCTGGTGTGTGTCAGGGCACCAGGGTGGGCTTTGCTCCCATGGCTGGGGGAGCAGCAGGGTGGGACACACCCCATGGAACCAGCAGCAGGTTTTCCCTACTTTTCTGCAGACAAAAGCTTTTTATCCCTTTTCTGGCTGGGTGTGCCATGGAACAGCTTCAGCTCTAAATCCTCAGCACTAGATTAATCCATGGCTTTTCTCTTCTTACCCATTAATTTACCTCCTGCAAGCCTCTGCTCTGCAGCACGGGATGATGGATCACAGCCTGGGGCGAGCCCTGCCCCAGGAGCTGCTGGTGCACACACACAGCAGCTCAGCCTGTGCTTCTCCCACCTCTGCTGTCCCACAGCTGCTGGAGAAGGCCCTGGCTCCAGAAGGGAAAAAAATAAGGATAAAAACCTGACTGTGCTGCCTTGTGTGGGATGAGGAAAGGTGCCATACTACAGAGTAGTACAGAGAGCACCAGAGGGGATGCCCACCCTGCAGATAGATTTACTGAAACAGCCAGGACCTAGTGAAGAAAATCAACTGTTGGCTTTAATTATTGCGTACATCTTCATCTCTAGGGCTAGGAAAATCTCAACTGGTAAATATACATTTCATCAGAATGCCTTTGGCTGAAATACACCATGAGCACATTCTTCAAAGTTACAACAAAAGTCTTAGAAATGTTAAAAAGGGATTCTCTTTCCTTTACTAAAATAAAGGAGTGCACCCCCCACCCCGACAAGGCGCTAGGACGGACGGACAGACGGGAACTCTTGGCTGTGCAAAGCAGAGCGTTGATTACAGTAACAGAAAGAAGTCGGGACAGGAGTGGGGAGCCTGCATAGCGCTCGGTGAGCGGCGGGGCGGCAGCGGCGTCAGGTCAGCATGTCCCAGAGGCAGCAGCAGCAGAGCGCGGTCCAGCACGCCGTCAGGCAGGCGCTCTCGCCCGTGTCGTCCCTCCGCCGCTCCTCCACGACGTACACTGCGGGACAGAGGGGCTGGTGAGACACCGGGCAGCGACACCGCGGGCACACACAGAAGGGGACAAGAATCAGGTGTGGCCCGGCCCCCAGGTCAGCTTTGCAGGCGGTGCCAGCTGCCCCAGCTGTGAGCACATCTGTCCGTGCAGACTGGCACTGAAGGAGGAGCTGTTCCCAAACGCTGCTCCAGCCTTAGCACACACAGAACTGCCTCCTTCCCGAGGATCACAGGGCAGCGAGCAGTCCTTGCCCCAGCTCTGTGTCCCTCCTGCAGGGGAGGGGACTCCCAGCTCTGCCAGCTCAGTACCCGAGGCACAGGCTGGGAGGTGGCAGTGCAGTGACACCCCATGGCCTAAAGGCTCCAGGTCTCACCTCATGGACAGAAACCATCTCTGCACAGAAGCTGCTGGGATTTACTGCACACTGCTTGAGCACACAGGAGGGAGCCCCAGGTTTGTGTAGAGCTCTCCAGGCAGGGTCTCCTACTTGAGGCCAGCGTGCTGCTCTTTGTGCAGCTCCTGAGGCACATTAGGACACAGGAGCAGTTTATCTTTGGTTCCTCCTTGCTGAGTCCAGGCTGTCACACCCAGAACTGCATCAGTCTGAGGGCAGGCAGGTGTTTGTCCTTCCTGACAGCTTTCGTGGCTCTGATTGTTGTGGTCTGTGTGGGAAACCTGCCCTCACACAGGAGCCCAAGGCAGGCAGGCAGCCTGTGCTGGACACATGGTGGTGGCAGGCAGAAGCCTGGGCAGGACACAGCTCATGGCAGTGGCCTGGCCCTCCCATGGGCTTCCTTTGTGCCCAGGAAACCATTCCCCAGTCACTACTTCAGCTCTGCAGAGATGGGTGGAAGATGATGTGCTCCAGCTCACATAATGCCAAAACTCTGACACCACCAAGTGAGGCAGAGAGAGGGAGTCCAGTACCCCCCAAATGTCTGTGTTTGGGGACAGCCTGTGCCTGAGCCTCAGGCCATCTCCCTCTCAGCAAGGGGGATAAAGGAGAAGAGGCATCCCCTGCCCAGGCACAACCCAGCTCCAGGGATGTGTGGTGCCCTGACCATACATCCCAGCACCTGCAGCCCTTGCTCCAGCAATGTCAGGATGGAGGCTCCCTTCTCCCTTCAGCCTCAGGAGGAGGTGGCAGTGCTGTGACAGGCTGTGATGGAGCAGGAGGGGTGCCACACACTCTCCTCCCTCAGGAGCTGCTGTCCCTCCCGTCCCTGCAGAGCCCAGGCTGGGCCCGATGGAAGCCTGGCTCCCTGTGCTGCTGCCAGGGGGACGCTGAGACCTCCCGTGCCCAGGGCCAGCCCCTGCCACACCCACACGGAGCGCACAACAAGAGCCATGACTTGTGAGCCTGCCACCCTGGCTGCCTCCTTCATCCCCCTGAAAGGGTGGATCACAGATCCATCCCATCCTATCCCAAGGGGATTATGTCCCAGGGCAGACAGGACTTTGGTCAGGCCCCTCCCTCCTCCCTGCCCTCAGCTCCAAACCTGCATTCAAAGCCACACCTGGAAGATTTGCAAAGGGAACATGGAGGCTTGTGAGCCCCGACCTTACAGAGCAGCTCGGCAGCAGCTCTGCCCCCTGCCTGTTCTCCATGGAGAGCTGACCCCAGGGCTTGGTCTGGGCTTTATTTTCCTGGTGGATCCAGGAGCTCTAAACAAGCAGCCCTGGTGTGTTTGTTTGTTCTAAGAAGGTCCTGTTGCAATCAGTGGAGGAAAAACACAAACCAATTGCTCTGAGAGTCCTGTGTAAGATGGTGACATCCCTGTGCTGGAGCCCTGACACAGCCCTGGATCCCAGCCAGCTGCCAGGCTGGAATTCAAGCTGTCCCACCTCTGAGCCATGGGGAGCTGGATTGCTGCTGCCAGAGAACTGCCATACCCAAAACTGAGGGCCACGGTGCCCTGAGACATCCAGATCCACCCTGCAGAAGGAGGCTGCCCTTTGCCAGCTACAATCAGCTGTCCACGACTGCAAGAAGCATTTGCCTGAAGTATTTATGATTAATCCATTAGAAGTTTTAAGCCAAGTGTCAGGGACATGCCGACAAAGCGTGTTCAAGGCATGTACAAAGTGCTGTTATGAAACACTTGCTGAAATATTAAAGAAAATGGCTTTCCCAAGCTTGGGGCTGTGCAGAGGGAGCTGGGAGCTCTCACCAGGGCTGCTCAGCTGACTCGTGTTGGATGCTGCCCCTCTGCACAAGTGGGTCCCAGTGTCCATGGGCATCACCCCTGTCCCTGTTCCTGCCAGCTCTCTGGCACTGCTGCTATGGCTGGTGCTCGAAAGGGCTGCCCAGAGCTGGATGAAGGACAGGCACTGCTGCCCACTAACAGCTGGGGGCAGGGACAGGACAGGGCAAGGGACAGCAGCCATGCCAAGGCCTTCCCAGGACTCACTGTAGGTTTGGGGTGAGCCTTTCTGTTAGAAACAGTGCCCATGTTTGTTCCCTCACTTCTGCTAAAAGCTGGAAGCCATTTAAACCACCAGCATATTGTGGCAAAAGCACCTTCCTGCAGAAACCCTCTGAGAAACAGCCGTGGTTTTCCCCCATGGCAGGCAGCCATGGTACTTTCACAAGAGCACTCAACTTCCAGGTTCAAGGAATGTCCCAAAGACAACACCTGAAATACACATTTGAGAAGTTGCTGCTTCCACTGCAGAGCTCCTCTCCAAGGAGAGCGAGTCTCGAGGGCAGCTCTGCCTGTGCCAGCAACCACTGCTGCAGTCTGAGAGTGCACCATCAACACTGGAAACTTTCACAGAGCATCTGGGCAATGCTCTGAAGAGAGACAGCCACCCCTCCTCACAGTTTGTGACGCTTTCTTTGAAGCCACATCAACACTTCAGGAGTTGCAGCTTTGTTGCTGTCACCACACAAATTGCCAGAGAGATTTTAACCACAGATATACAGCATTAATGCTAAACAGCTTTTCTGATCTGCGTGTGGGGCTTGCAGACGACAGGAGAGGAGCAGGACAGCTGAAGGGTGGTCAAACATGCAAGCTGGAAGCCATCTCAAAGCCAGGCTGGATGAACTGCTCCCAGCCCAGCCTCTCACCAGCCTGGAGACACCCTACACCAATCTGCTCATTTGGGACACCTGACCATTGGCTCCAGGGCACTAATGGAGTGACACGAGTACCTGAGGACATCAAGAGCAGGTGGCAGCAGCTTCAGCCACTCCTCCCAGCCCATGCAGTAGTGCTGTACAAACACAGTGTCAATCCCCCAAACACCACATCCAAATCTCTAAAAGTATTTATTTGGGAAGTTTTGTAAAGCCCATTACTGATGCTAAGTTCCCCCACAGCTTCCCAACTGACTGCAACCAGCAGGACCCCATTGATAGACATCAGGTTTTCTACTGGGATATCTTTGCCAACAAAACCCAATCCAACTTCTCCCAGTGAAGGAAATTGTGGCTTTTGTGACATTCCTCAGTGCCCTGAGTGCCTCCAAGATAAAGCTACCCTGTTTTCTATGGTGAGCCTTATTGGGGACCTCATCAGCTGCTTTGTGCCTCTCTTTTGGCCAAGGTTGGGCACTCCAGCCACATCCTACAGCACAAAGGGTCCTCATCACTATGAACAGAAGCCTGATGGTCCCAAAAAGAAGAGAAACAACGGTGATTTCTCTTGGAGGCACTAGACAGCACTCAGTTCTAGGCTCCAGTTATGAGGGTTTCACTGTTTTTCCTGAAACAGGATGGGAGAAGGTATAAACTGAGAGACCCTCCCATCTCCTAATCAGCCTTAAAAAGTAGAGCACAATGAATCATGCTTACCCTGAAAATGCTATCACTCCCTGTAATCTCACAGCAGTGGCCTGCACAAACCAGTGCAAATAACTCCCACTTTGTTTTTAAAACAAATACTACAATACCTTCTTATTTCACGTACAGTCTACTTTATCTTAAGCATATACATTTTGTTTCTTCTCATACCTGATTGATGCGTTAATCATTAGCTCCATGAAGGAAAGGAATGAGCTGTACTTTTCACCTGGTTTGGCATAAATTAAAATCATGACCTTAGACTGCAATGCCCCTTATTGCAGTGCTTTAGTGGGTCTACAAGGATTGCAGTACAAGGGCACTGGCTTTGAGGCCAGAATCAGTCCATCCTCTCCCAGGATCCACACACGGACATCACTGCCAAGGTACCAACTCACCTACATGGGGGTAGTGATGGTGTCTGAGAGCCCCTGAGCTCCACAGGCTCTTCCAGCAGTCCTGCTGCACATCCCAGGGCCAGGCTCTTGGCTGGGTGTCCCAGGTATGACAGGAATGGTATCCAGGCACAGAGAAGCCAGCAAGGGGCAGGCTCAGTGCCTGGGGAGCAGGAGGTGGAGAGCACAGCCCAGCACCCATCACCCTCTTAAGGTGGGAGGGCTTCAATGCCAGTGCCCTGAAGGTGACTCTCCTTTAGCCCAGCTGTGTGCCAGCACAGAGCCCTCACCTGCACTCGGGGCTATGAGGCAAGGCCTGGGGCACATGAGAGGAAGCAGCAGTCAGGGATTTACCAGTCACTGCTTCTGCAGCCCCAAAATTCTTCCTGTGGCATCAGAATGGCTGTTTGCCATGGTAACAGCTGGTCAGAGCAGGAGTTTTAGTTAATACCAGAGTCTCATCTGGGAGGGTGTGTACAGCAGAGAAGGGACCCATAAGCCTCTTCCCACTTGTCAATTAAGTGGTTTTACCACAAGCCACTTCTGCACCAAGAGCTTTGTTTTCTCTTCTTCAATGAGCAAGAAGTCTTGCTCACCACCACTCAGAATGATTTTGTGATTGCTGAGTTAGGTCAGCCTGTGCATCTGCTTTTACCTTCAAACCATTCTCACCCAGGTCCTTGGAAAACTTTTCTGTTCAGGATGGAGGCCAGAGAAGGGAAAGTCAGCACAAGTGCATTTAATGGATGCAGAAGTGACAGCAACAGGAAATCAAATGTCCCCGAGTCCCTCTTGGAGGTGCACACTCTGGTCTGCAGACC